AAAGAACAATGGCCAGAACCCCAGAACTCGGATGTTTGTCCTAGCATCCCTTCCGTTGAAAGGGATGTCTGCCTTGTGTCTCTTAAATGAATGTGTGGCTTCCAGGAATGTTGGAAGCCACTACTAAATGATAAGTGGAACCAGTTGGCAGTCTTGTCACGTTCTGAGGAGAGACCACATTTTGCTCTACCTTTCAAGCAGTAAAGTGTTTAGAGGCAGCCCTGAAAACAAGGAAGCTGAACATTTTGGAATGGTGTTCAGCTCCAATGGTTGCCATTGTAAGTGCTTAATGCGAGCCGACCTGAAGTTACATAATCGTACGTGTGCAAAATAGAAAAAAAAAGCCTGTATTTAAGCAGTCCTCCCTCCTGAGTGTAACCTGAACAGCAGCCCGTGTCTGAGCAGAGGATTTCTGAACCTGTCCTCCCTCACTGCCGTCCTTTGTTGAATAATTTTACCGTCCCTGGGGATCTCCTATCAGCATGCTTCCTTAAACTAATAAATGTTAATGTAGGTGATATATTAATAGTGATATTGATTGATTGGCAGGGCCTTGGAAAAGCAAAAGGAGAAAGCAATTATTTAAAAAGTCTGAGCTTAGAAAAGCCAACAAAGTCTGGAAATTTAATTCATTCAGGGCAGTCTTGTGAAGTCTTCCTTGTCACCTTCTTTGTCTTTTTTTTTGCTGTGCTATGAATCACAGAGGTGCAAGATGGCTCAGTGGTTAAAGACGGTGAGCTTGTCAGCTTGCGTGGGTCCAAGATCTGAGCGCTGCATGATGGGTTGTGCTCCCGTTACTTGCCCTAGCTCCTGCCCACTTAGCAGTTCAAAAGCATGCAAACACGAGTAGATAAATAGGTACTACTTTGGTAGGAAAGTAACAGCATTCCATGCACCTTGATGTATAGATATGCTGGCCACGTGACCACAGAAAATGTCTTTGGACAATACTGACTCCCTTGGTTAAGAAATGGAGATGAGCACCGTCCATAGAGTTGGAAACAACTGGACAGGGTAAAAATTATTCTTTTACCTTTTTGAATCACAGTGAAATGTTTCTTCTCTCCCACACAATCTTCTTCTCCTCGTCTACTACCTGTCCCACTGTATCCCTCACCACCATTCTAGCAAGAGGACACATTTTTATATTTAGAGGAACTCGGAAAGAATACTAGGGTTCATGGCAAAATTAGTGTTTAATGCTTGACAATGGATTGAGATTTGTGGGTATTGATTTGCAAAGCCATGCACAAGGAATCTTGAGTATTGCGCTTCTACAGAGAAGCATTGCATTGCCATCATGATCTGCAGATGATGGTGATGGGAGAGTAAGGAAGACCAGTGATAAAATTTGCATTTTGATATCGCAATGCAATTCTGTGCTCTTTTGTACTTATAGTGCATGCGTGCATGCACATATGGGATGGAGCTTGTGTCATGATGTCACAATAGACGTTTCGTCATTTTGATGAGATGCTGGTCGCTGGGGGCACCCAATGGATTGCTCCATGTATTTAGAACAGTAAACAGCAAAGGCTGTGAACAGAGTTAAAGGAAACAGGTGCTGGAAAAGATGGAACTAGCAGAGATTTGAATTTAAACATAGGTGTTTAAGTCACACTTTATAGTTTGTTACTGTTTTTCAAAATAATCAGTGCTGATAATAAAAATAATGGTTTTAGATATTATCCATATATAACAATCCAAATGGTTTTAGATATTATCCATATATAACAATCCAAATACTATATATGTCTTGATAGTTTAATAGATCCCATCTCCCCCCCCCCAATCCTACTCCCTCCTTCACCATATTTTAATTGGGGCTCAATTAAAATATTTGGATCCTTACAGTATTTTATTTATGTCTTTTCATTTTTGCATAGTTTTTATCTTTTTAAGACTGTAAGCCACCCAGTTATCCTGTGGTAAGATGGGTGGCCAATAAATTTTACAAATAAATAAATCTATAATGTCAGAAGAAAAACACAGTTAAAAACATTATTTTTCCTCTTACAAATAATTTTAACCATATACACAGAATCATATATTTTAATACTTCCATGCCATGTTTGGATTCGGATCCACTGAGTTTTGATGTTCCTGGATGCTTTTGACAATTACATGGATGAATAAATTTTTGAGCTCTTATCTTTTAAATGTGAAATGGATTTTTAAATGAGTGTTCATCTAGTGTTTATCATAGAGCATGCTCGGCTTACAATATATTTTATACCTTCTGCAAAATACCAAAACAAAAGATGAACTATTTAACAAAATAATCTTTCTCTTTTTTCCGTAGAATTTTAGCAGCTAATAATGCTAGTCGTAATACTGAATATGCTGTAATAGGATAATGAAGAATTCTTTTAATACTCTGAAATCCAGACATAAAGCAGCTAATGACTTTAAAATGTCCTCTCGTCTCTCATCCTTCTGTTTATAATTTACTACATAAAGATTTCCTCTCAATATTTGACTAGAAAGAATTAGTTTATTCGAAATTCATTATTACAGAATGTTCATCATCAGAAATAAAGGGAAAATATTGCCTATAAGCAAATGCATTGCATACGGTTTAGGTTAGTTATTGTTATTGTATATTTATGGACAACTATAGGGGGAGGAGTAGCAGAAACTGGGGACGGAATTAAAAGAGGGATCAGCCTAGAATCTTTATGTAGCCACAAGCAAATTAAGTCCACTACCACCCTTAATTCCCAGGGCTTTTTTCCTCATAGAACGCCCAGAACGCCCAGAGTTCCAGCACCTTTTTTGGATGAAACCTTGTAGGGTAGGCAAGGTGGGGTTGTATGATGTGTGTGAGTTCTGGCACCTTTTTTTTTTTAATAGAAAAAAAGCACTGTGAATTCCATTGACCCATATCTAATTCCTAACAGGTACTAACTGTTAGTTGAGATTATTCCTGTACCTAGACTGAGTAGCAATAAATCAGTTTAATTGGATTTTCACATGTGACCGGATCTTCCACACTTGACAAAACCCAGTATTATTAGAATTCAAAATCTCTGCCTTGATTGTCTGGACAATCATAAAGAAATAGGACTGGCCCCAGTGGTGGGATTCAGCTGGTTCGCACCACTTCGGCAGAACCAGTAGCTAATTTTTTGTTGCTCAGGCCCAGAATGGACTTCTGGAAGTGGCATCCACACAGAGAACCGGTTGTTCACATATTTGAATCCCACCACTGACTGGCCCATAGAAGACTTAGAATTCAGTCATGAACTTAAGATGAAAGAGAGAGAGAGAGAGAGAGAGAGAGAGAGAGAGAGAGTATAATACTTATTTCACTCAGTAACAACAAAGTTCAATGCCACCTACTGGATATGCAATAAAATGTTGTTATCCACCTAGATTGTGCATTCATGTTGGTAATGCATTGGCCACTCATGATTTACACACAATGTATTAAAAGACCTGCAATTCTGCCATAGTGCATTGTTTTCTTTAAATTAGAAGCCTCACATCCCTTTTCAAGCACAATAACTTTTATTCATGTGGAAACATGGCTCAACCATGGTCCAGATAATAATAACCTGGATTGGATTCAGTGTTATATCAATTATATTCACATTTATTGAAATGTATGTTAAACATAATATTTTTATAATGGCACAGACATATCTATGTAGTTTTTTTGCAACAGCATAGAATTTTACCTTCTGCGTATTTGATTAGAACATATGATGCAATTATACGAGTTGATAAGAAAAATATAATAATTTGCCGATATCATGCCCAAACAGTTTTTATCTTGCCAGCAATCCACCTGCTTATGTTTTACCTCTATGGAAATAAATGCTAGTTTCCTTATTTTTTTCTGAAGAAGCTGATCTAGCCATGGTCAAATATGCAATTTAAGGACATTGTGATCTATGACTGTAATGCATTTTGGGTAAAATTACCTTCACAGAACATCTGGATCAACTTTGAATGCAAAGCAATGCCAAGAATGTATTTGCTACCGGTTCATTTCCAGATACAATTTAAAATGCTTGAGGTTACCTTTAAAATCTATAAAAGGCAACCTATCTTGGTCAGGGGAAGGCCTTTGGCCTGATCCACTAGCATTTTGAACCTGAAAAGAATGAAAGAAAAGAAGAGGCTATCTAATGTGTGTAGTCCCAGAATTTGGAACTCTGGGTTCATCATCCAGTTTGTTTCTTTGTTACGGAGATTTTAGGGCTGGGATCCTTTAATTTTCAAGATGTTTCACCCATTCTCTACAGTTGATTGTTGTTGTTTTGGCTGTTCGGGAAGGAAAGACTTGTTTATAATCAAGGCAAAATGAATCCTTTTTTCTGGGCTTGTTCATGGACTGGCTGAATATAAAGTGAAGGATATCTCTACAGTAGGCTACCTGTCATGATGATGGCTTCTAAGGATGTTCTACTGCAGCGGTTCTCAACCTGTGGGTCGCAACCCCATTTAGGGTCGAACGACCATTTCACGGGGGTCGCCAAACAACGCAATCCGCCATTTCCCCCCCTTTTCCTTAGCTGTGCTACTCCCGTTTATTCTATTGGCTTTTGAAAGCCAATAGAATAGACTCTCTTGAATAGAATCTAATTCTATTGGTTTTCAAAAGCCAATAGGAATTGTCCAGGCTGTCTCTGCCCTGGTGAGCCCACCAAAAGTCCTATTCTGCAAACGGTGCTGCAAGTTGTCTGCAGCGAAGGTGAGCTGACTGGAAGTTTCCAACCCTCCCTGCTGAGCAACTACTAAAAATGTAAGTAAAAGAGGGCCAGGGGTGGGAGGTGGGAGGCCGGCGGGCGCAGGGAAGGTTGCTGGTGCGCATGGGGCCCAGCCGGTGCCTTACCTCCCTTGGGCTGGGCCAGCTGGTGACCCAGCCGGTAGTCGGCCTGCTCCGTCTCTGCCGCTTGCCAGTTACGCCTCGGCCGGCTCAGGGGGCAGCACCATGCATGTGCGGTGCTCCCGGGCAGGGAAAGTCCTTGACTTACAACCAGTTGGGTAGTCCTCGACTTACGACCGGTTGGGTAGTCCTCGACTTACGACCAGTTGGGGGTCACAGCATTAAAAAGGTTGAGAACCACTGTTCTACTGGGAGCTCACTAGTCCTTTCACAATTTCAAGATTCTCTACCTAAATAGCAGGCTCTCTGTAGGTATCATTAAAACAAACTACTAGCAAGCAGCTGGCCTATAGACTTATTTGGCTTCCTGAGAGCTTGTTGGCTAGCTAGTTCACAGTTTCTCTTCGCTCCTAAGTATAAAGAGGGGAGGGATGTAGGAAAAATTCACTTGGACGTAGCATAGCATTTTCTTGTAAGTTCATTTCTCCCCTGTCTACCCATAACAAATATATAGCAATTCCTGTATTCAACTCTGAAAATTAGGGAAATGCTACTATTTGCAGTTCTCACTTTTTGGAGACATGACATCTCCATGCATGCCCATTTTAAGCCACTATCATTTTATTTTAAACTAAAGAATTTAGATGTTACTTATTCTGTATGTTGTCTGTATGCTTCCTGTGCATCATCCCTAATTTACTTCTACTCTGCATGTTGCCCAGAACATTTTGATTATGAATTTTTGATGTGCAGAAAGTCTCCTGCTCTCATAACAAATGTGATCCAGTGAGCTCCAATTTTTTACTGTCTTTTCTGTGGTTTAATGCCTTTCAAATATGTATGGAATATGGGGTTTGAGGACTGATCATATCATATCAGTTGTGGTGGAATGTAGTTTTATTCCCAGGAAGGAGGGGCTGTATTCCAGACAGCGAAGAGGCAGCAAAGTTGAGATAGTTTGGCTGGAAAAAAGAGAATTAAGAGGTTCCTCTCTAACAATTCCCAGAGTATAACTATAGTTGTGCAAATAGTTGTGCAAATAGTTGCACAAATAGTTGCTTTAGCTTGGCAAGATTCTTTTCTACAGATAAGGAACAATAAAAGAAACTCCTCAGAAGTAATTCCTGATGTCTTGCTTGGCTCTTGGGGCCGGGCTGATCAACTTTCTATGTGAGTAAATGAAGAAATATCTTAGTTTTATTGGACATTATTATTTGTTCAAAATTGCAATCTTCACCATATAGCAGAGACTTTTTTCAGGAAAAATTCTACAAAGACAAGTAAAATGAAATCTGTGTGGCAGTGTATTTTTATCTGGCACGTCATCACTGCTTGTTTAAGCAACGTTCAAGCCATTTTAGATGAAGTCAAATTGCCATTGATTAAACCTAATCCAGGAAATAGACGCCTTAGCTTCCAAGTTTAGATGAGTCAAGGATGCTTCTCAGAAAAAAATTATGATTGCTTCGCTTTCATACTCACATTGTTTATAAATGGTTGAATAGAAATGGATGTCAGAATGGAAAAGCTCCTGCTTGAGAATAAATATACCCACCCAATTATGACCTGAGCCATCTTCTTGTGACATCATAATGTTGCTTGTACTGATGGGGCTCATTTTTCACTTTTGACTACAATCTTTGCGTGTGTGCAGTATAGTATTGAGCATACAGGAGCATCATGGGTAAGGCTACAATTGGACAAGCAAGGTAAGGAAATAGGGCAAGGGATTCCAAAAGCTGCCTGCTGGAAGGATTAAAAAGGGATTCATAGCAATGAAAATAAATTAATAAAGCAGAAGAGTTTTTTTATATATATAAAATGTGTTTCTATCAGAATCATCAAGGGCTGAATAAGAGGCATCCCCTTGCCAAAAATATTCATTTAATCCTATCTCAGTGTGGTTTTTTATTCCTGAAAATGGCTTGCCTTTGTACTGTAGAATTCTCTGTAACTCAAGTTTTTTCCCCAAGAGGCTATTTGATTATTTGCATTAAACGACGAGAGAGAGAGAGAGAGAGAGAGAGAGAGAGAGAGAGAGAGAGAGAGAGAGAGAGAGAGAGAGAGAGAGAGAATGTGCACTAGCCTCTGCCCTGTTCAACGTTTTGTTTTTATTGTTCCTTGCTCCCTCAGCAATTATTGAATTCAAATTTCTGCTCTGTCAGTGATTTGATTTGACCTTGGAAAACCCTGCAGTTGCCTTTTGAGACATGTTCGGTGGCTATGGCATGAACAGATTGATTTGATTCTTTCTCACTGGATTGGGGAAAAAAAGACAGTTTAATGAATATTTATAATTGTTTTACTTCTAAACATAGAGATATAACCCAACAACCTCCAGACCACAAGAACTGTAGTTTCATTCATCACAAGTAAAAGGTCAACTTCCCACAATGAACACAGTAATGTGTAAACACAGAGAAATGTGGGCTGGGGAATGTAGACCAGGGGAGCAAATTTACTGCTATAATTTTCCGCAGAGAGAGAAAAAAGGGGAGGAGAACATAGATAGAGTGCAGAAGGAGTGGAAAGGAATAAGCATTAAAATTGCCTGCCCTTTCTGATAATACATGCCTCTTCCAAAATTAAACACAAATGAAAACAAAGTCAAAACAGATGCTTAAGTAAGTGTATTTAATTTCTCTTAGAGAATATATACTGCTCAAAAAAATAAAGGGAACAAAAATGTATAGGGTCCTATACGTTTGTGTTCCCTTTATTTTTGTGAGCAGTATGTGTGTGTGTGTGTGTGTGTGTGTGTGCGCGCATACAGTCTTTTAACTACATGAGGGAAACAATTGGATCTGAATCAGTATGGGGAGGATTTTTTTTCTTTTTAAACACATTTTATTGGTTTTTTATTTCTTAGAACAAAGTGCTCGAGACACACTGTGATGCTGAGACAATCAAACATCCAACAATAAAGCCGTATATGAATAACTCAAATCAATGCATTAAATATTCCCTCTCTATTTCCCTCAAATAGCATAATATATTTAAAATAATCAATTTCTAAATTAAATTTCTATAAATTCTAAACCTGTTTTTAAGCTTTATAAATTTACACTTACCATAGTCAAATTTAACCTTAAATAAACACATTATCACTTCAGGTATCCTTTCCAGATATATTCTAGTTCTGATCTCTTAAATCCTTAATTTTATCACAAATCTTGTTTATTTCTTCTTCCACTACACACTACGTATCCTGATTAAAATAAAATATTAGTCTACCCTATACATATATAATCCATCCATCAATCAATCTCTTTAACCTAGCATGATGATATTTTGAAGTCTGAAAGAGATCTTGGAACTTAAGAGAGAAATCTGACATGACTGTTAACTACCTGGTTATGTTTCAGTTCCCAAAACTGAATCTTTCCAATATTGAGAATCTCTGAATATTTTAGAACCCTTGTGACAAAAGGTTAATTTAGCTTAACTATTAAACAGAATTAAATTAATTACCTCCCATTGTGACAGAATGTGTCTTTTTCTTTTATGCAAAACAAACCAGAGTACAAGAAGAACACGGCAGCTCTTTCTACGTTGCAATAGGCTGTTCTGATAATTCAGAAGTATTTCATTCCAGAACTCTTTGAAATAATCAATATAGCCTGTTTTGAACATGAAAAAAGATGATCTGAACTCAAAACTAGAGCATTTCAAATTTAAACTATTGGGACATACACACAAACATCAACACTGATTCAAGGATTAGTTTTGCATGAGGCTAAACCTTAGTGAACCACCATGTGACTGGCACTGGGTATTTTAATTCAGATATACAGTCTTTCTGTTTAAAATGTACCTTTTACAGGAATTATTTTAGCTGTCAGAGTTTACATTTTTTTTAATTAAAAGGAGGGGAAATTACAGCTAGTTTTCTTGGTCCAAATATCAGTGCTTGAAGCTTAGGTGTTTTAAATTAAAATAAAAGGTGGGGGGAGGGAAGCACAGTAAGTTTCCTTAGTCCACCTATTAATGCTATTGCTATTGACAATTAATTCATTGAGGATAAATCTAATGATCTTAATTGTTTAATCTGCAGCCAGACATTCCTTGGCTTCATTGTATCTGTTTCCCCTTGTAGGTACATGTGACAGTAGTGCAGCTATGAGTGGAATTTTAAAGAGGAAGTTTGAAGAAGTTGACGGCTCTTCACCCTGTTCCTCTGTGCGGGAATCAGATGATGACATCTCTAGCAGCGAAAGCGCTGAGAGTGGGGATAGTGTCAACCCTTCCACTTCAAATCATTTTACCCGTAAGTACTACAGTTACTTTGCAAGAGGCCTTTCCTCATTATAGACAATGAAAGTCCGTGCCTACGATTTCCTCTGTATTCACCAAATTTTCTACTCAATGGAAATAGAGTGTGAGTACCAGAGCTGGCGTCTCACCACTGGAGCAGTTGGGAGGTGTCCTCTGTGTGCTTCCCATCATATGAGCAGCTGGTTTGGAACCAAATGTATGAACTGGGTTTTAGATTGGAATTTTTAGATTGCAAGAGAGAGCCGTACATGTGAAGAAGTGAATTCATCAGATCATCAAGGAAGTATGATCTCTAATATCCATCACATTTGTGACAGGCAAACCTGAGCAACAGGGTTGTTTTATAATATTTAGACTGATGCATGTACCGTGTTTCCCCAAAAATAAGACCCAACCGGAAAATAAGCCCTAGCGTGATTTTTCAGGACCCCTGTAATATAAGCCCCATTCCAAAAATAAGCCCCAGTTAAGATTGTCAGCCAGATGACCGCATTTAGTATCGTATTTCCCCCAAAATAAAATCTAACCGAAAAATTAGCCTACTGCGTCTTTTGGAACAAAAATTAATATAAGACACGGTCTTATTTTCGGGAAAACACGATATTTGGAATTTTGAAACGATGTAATAGGTGCTCTTTAAATGTTTGCCATGGTGGATATAGTCAACCTCAAAACACCCATTCCCAGAAGGGAAACTGATAAGAGTGTTCCACAGAATTCATCTAACATCCTAGCATGTTTCCAAGACTTCAGCTGACTTTGCCTTTTTTCTGGGCAACTGGGCGCACCTTCAAATAAGATACAAGCCTCCATGCCTCCAACCATTTTTAGTTACGAAAAATGCTTCTAGGATCTGTGTGGCGCCAAAAGACATTGTTGGATATACAGTTTAGGTATTGAGGCTGTTGCTTTCATTTGCAACATGTTTACTTCCAATTTATTAAAAAAATAACTTGGTCAAGGATTCTGGCAGACACTAAGGAAGATGATGGCAGGCACATTGATGCCCACCGACGTCAAAACTGGTGAAACGAGGTCTAGAATATAAAGCACCCTCCAAGGGTGGTTTTTGTCAAGTTGTGTCAAAGCTTGCCTTTCAGATGATTGTTCAGCTGTTTCATTTGTCATTCAGTTGTCTGGTTCACAGAAAGCATGATCTGCAAAGAATATTGTGGGGTGCTCTTCTTAAAGGGTTATGTACGCTTTAATGTTAATCTCATGGACATTATTAGTTTAAGTCATTTGTATTTTAGGTTGTTCTGTCTCACTAGCTGATATGAATATTCTGTATAGAAAAACAGGGGCAGAATTCATGGAATTTTAAATAACTAAATAGGGTTAATAGAAGACCTTGGACCCAGATGCAGCAACCTAGCAATAATTTATCTATATTAGTTATGGTAAAGTGTTTAATTTGCTTATTCACTATTTTCATCAGTGTTTATAATTTAAATAATAACTTTAATAAGCCAGACCTATATTATTGTATAACAGTTTAATGGGAAGAGTGAGGGTGAAAGGTCTGTCCTTCTATAGCCTTTGCATTATAAATTGTAAGTAATCAAATGCTAAGCACAAAGTTTGTACAAATGAACTCGGCTCTGTAAAATCAAAGAAAGCCAACTTAGTCCAATCATCTGAATCCTATTCATGTGATCTCACCTCTGTAAATCATGTTTATGGTTTCTGTTTATGAGACTAATCAAATAATTAAAGATTGATTGAACCGGATACACTTAAGTATGAAAGTATTGAAGAACAAATATCAGTTCTGGTGGCTTCCTGGCAAGAAAAAAAAAAGATAAAATATTCTAGTGTGTGAATATAAATGAGAAAAGGATGAGAGGGAGACAATGGTAGAGCAGCTGTTTTGTGTGGAATTTCCTCTTACTTCCTGGCGAGGCAGGAATAGAGCCCTTCTGAAATTCTAGAGAGACACTACCAGTAGGGTAGAGTCTTTCTGGTCTTCCAAATAGTGTTACAATTTACATTCCATTGTCCTCTGCCATCTAATATGTTGAGTAAGGTGCTTAGGTTTGAGATACAGTGTGACTACCCCTTGCCTAAGCAGTACTGAAGAAGAGGAACCCATGGTCTGATTTGTTATATGATTGTATCCTCTGTTCTTTTTATTGGGGATAGAAAAGGAATGGCAAGAGAATAACCATCCACGTAAAGGTAGGGATAAGTGGGATATTTTTGGTAAGAAGCTGTACAGTGAAATATACTGGCAAAAACCACTGGGAAATAAGGAAGAACACAATGCGCTGCGATATACAAGGAGGAACAGAATTTATAAACATATTTAGCTATGTTCAACTATAGATTATAACATCAGTTGAACTGGGGCTGCAGGTGAGTTGTTGAGCTGAGTTGAGTTGAGCTGCAGATGAATCCTTAACTTGGCAACTACAATAGATAGCACTATTTGTAAGTTGCCACGTAAGGTTCCATTGAGATTTGTATTGAAATTACGGTATATTATAAATGGTGCCATCCCTGGTGTACATTGACAGTTGCTTGTTATCTTGCCAACTTTCCTCCTTGGGTCAGGAATAGTTCTCTCATTACCATGGTGATAAATTATGGCTGTAAAATGTTGTATCCCAGTAGCATGAAGGCCAGCTTTAAAGTGATTAATTTAATTGGCTGAAAAGTCTGTTTTATATTTTACAGTTACATGCATTGAATCTAATTGTTTTGACTCATACATAAATCGGTATTTCTCTGCCTTTCTTTCTCCCACAACACATGCAGCCAGACCTTTTTAAAAAACAAACCTTATACAATGTTCTTTCCCCCTTCCTCATGCCACAAGCATCTCATTAAGAGACCACTGTGGTAGAGTTACTAAGTTAGTTCCTAACTAATCAGGTCTAGCTGTTCATTAACCAGAAAAAAAAGACATTTTCCAAGTGGAAGTCATTTCTCTATTCTAGACTCTGCCTCATTTTCAGAGGTTAACCAATAAAGTTCCTTTTAGTCCATGCATATCTCAGTTATAGTTTACATCTCATTATAGATGTTTTTTCTTTATTATTATTGTTTTTGTCTGTCTAACAAGTAAATAAATAAGGTCGCTGATGCCCTTCAGAAGTAAAGTCCTTCATAAGTAAACCCCACTGAGTGTGACAGTTATGTGAACGTATAATTTCAGCTCTAAAAGATACGTCAGAAAGGAAGAAAGCCAAATACAGACATTTCTGCATGCTGTTATATGTAGCTAACTGTGACTGCTTTTCTAAATCTTTGTAAATATCACATGGATTTGCGAACAGCAAAAATACCGTATTTTCCGGCGTATAAGACGACTTTCTAAACCCTGAAAATCTTCTCAAAAGTCGGGGGTCATCTTATACGCCGGGTAACTGTTCTCTGAATTTAAAACCAATCTGCCCCCTAGTGGCCAGCCCTATTTTTTTTACAGAAATAAGCACTAACACAGTGTTTCTCAACCTTGACAATTTTAAGGCATGTGGACTTCAACTCCCAGAATTCCACAGCCAGCAGGACAAAACATTCAAAAATCCCATTTAAATTTTTAAATTTTTCTTTATAAATGTAAACCCAGCAAACACACTGTTTACCAACTATTAAGTGATTTATGTTTTTAAAAATCAATAAAATATATGGGGAAAAAAATACCAGCTGAGTTCAGGAAGCATTAGGGAAGCAGTGGTGGGCAACACTCGCTTTCTAGCAGCAAAGGAATGGAGCTCCTATTGTGCTCATCTATGAACAGAAATTCAATTGTACCGTATTTTCCAGCGTATAAGACGACTTTTTAAATCCTGGAAATCTTCTCAAAAGTTGGGGGTCGTCTTATATGCCCAGTCGTCTTATACACTGGAATATATATATGGTAGCTATTGATGGACATTGTGACACAGCAAATTTTTCCAGTCTGATCCCCTCTAGTAAGTGTTGAACTGTGAATGTTGTGATTCACATGGAATAAATGAAATGCTTTGTCCAAATTAATGTTGTCTCAAAAGCCACTTTACAATTTCTCAATTTTCTTCTCTGATAAAAGGAACCTTTTTTTCCTATCTTTGTTCTCCAGACAATTGAGAATTTCTTCTAATTTCTCTTGGTGATATTTTCAACATTATTGTTGAAGATGGTGGACATTGTGCCATTGGAATCTTGCTATTTTGTGACTCTGAAGCTTCCTTGACTGTCCAAACTTCTAACTCTGGGAGAAAAAAAATAAATCCAAACCAGGAGAGAATATCTTCCATTGATACTGACTTAAAATATGAGAATTTAAGAAGACAGCAGACCACTAACTATAGTCGAGGGGGAATTGGGTGCAAATAAAGAAATGTACATGTTGGTGTTAGCATACTAATGCTATGACATATGTACTTGGGTCAGGTATCTGGATGCAAGCACAGGTAGTCCTTGACTTACAACCACAATTAAGCCCAAAATGTATGTTGTTAAGTGGGACATTTATTAAGTGAGTTTTACCTCATTTTGTGACTTTTCTTGCCAGTGTTGTTAAGTGAATCGCTGCCGTTGTTAAGTTAGTAACCTGGTAGTTAAGTGAATTTGGCTTCCCCATTGACTTTTTTTGTCATAAAAAGTGATCACGTGACTCTAGGACACTGCCACTGTCATAAATATGAATCAGTTGCCAATCATTTGAATTTTGATCACTTGATCATGGGGATGCTGCAAAGCTCATAACTATGAAAAACAATCATTTTCCAGTGCTGTTGTAACTTGAAACGGTCAATAAACAAACTGTTTTATGTCAAGGACCACCGGTACTTAACTGCAGTATGTATGTGATATAGTACTGTATGTATTTTACCAGTTGAGAGTAACATATGTGTAAAATGTATCGCAGATTGCACTGCTTCTCTAGATTTTGTGTTTCTACTCATGCAACATGCTCTCATGAAGGCTTAAGCTAGGGAAAATACAGGTAATCCTTGACTTAAGACCACAAGGGAGCCCAACATTTCTGTCGCTAAATTCTTAAGT